TGCCTGGAGAATAGCAGACAAGTCGAAAGTTAGTCGACCGATTCAAAGAGAGCAAATGAAGAAAGCAAGATCTCAATCGGGAACACAAGGTCAGACCTGGTCCACGTCGTATGAACTGTCAAGCGGGACAACCCTCCTGGCTCCTCGGGGGTTGTCTTTGTTCCCTGTGATGCTCGACAGCCACCCTTCCAGCATCTCGTCGGTGACCTCCTCTGGGTGAACCCGAGTGGTGTCGTCGAGACCCGAGTACAGCCACATAGGGTGGTCACGAGCCTGAAGCGGTTGGATGCGCCTCCGAAGGAAGACCTCCAGCAAGTCCATGCCGGTCACGCCGTCTCGGACAAGCTGAACCACTCGACCAACCAGCACCTTGACTTGCGCCTTTTCCTCCGGCAGCACTTTCAGAGAGGCAGGCTTTTGAGCTCGGTCCAGAGAGAAAGGGGGAAGACCAGTCGACTGCCCTGGGGTCACCTGGTCTTGGCAATAAAACCAAGTCGACTGCCAACCACGGACCGACTCGGGAAAAGTGATAGACGGGAAAGAACTTTTACCCCTCATCTGGATCGCCAGGCCCCCGCATAGCTGGATCACTTGCGTCCGTTCGTCACTCGACTTGGCTTTCTTTACCGATTGGGAACTGCAAGTGAAGATGTGTTTAAAGAGTCCCCAATGAGGGCGGCAACCCAAGAAACTTTCGCACAAGGAAACGAAAGCCGCAAGATACACGATGGAATTGGGAGTGAAATGATGGAGCTGCGCTCCGAAGAAGTTCAAAAAGCTTCAGAAAAAAGGATGAGGAGGTAGAGAAAATCCGCGATCGATATGGGTGGCGAGGAGGACGCACTCACCGTCACGAGGTTGGGGTTCGACTTCTCCCCCCGGGAGACGCGCAGCTTCATGGGGAATGACTCCCCCCTCGACCATGTCGTCAAGATCTTCCTGCCGAATCACCGAGGGCATCCAGTCGCCCTGGGTCCAATCCCTGGGCAGAGCAGTCCTCGAGGAAGATCCGCCCCGAGCGGACTTCTTCCCCTTCCCCTGCACCATCGCCTTCTTCGCGCGCTCCAAAGCCGACGTCTTATCCTTCACCATCGTCGCCGGCGAGGCTCGAACGGGCCTACGGCGCTAGGGTGGGAGCAGAGGTGGCAGAGGACCTTGCGGGGGGAGAAGGAAAGGCGAGAGCACACTGTTGGGGAGCCCCGAGCCGGCAACTTATAAGGAGCCGCTTCCGAGTGGCTGACCGGTAGGCCCAGGCGATCCGGTCAAATCCCGCAACAGGCGCGCGCGCGGTACGTGGCGAAAAAGGTGGAGCGGAGATCGAGGAGCTTCCATCTTATCCCATCCGATTACTTCGGCCGCCCCCGTCTCGCTCACTTCTCAAAATTCAAATCCCGCAAAATCCGCGGGCTGCAGAACAACTCATCAAACTGGAGAGCCCGCTCGTGCCGGCACTCGGTATTCCACAAGTAAGGAAATTCACTCGACGAGAGACCAAGAACGGATCAAGGTGACCGAAAGAAGTTGACAAACGTCATCCGTGACGATTGATCCAGTACAAGACATTCGTATAACGCTAAGAACCAGTCGGAAGGACCCCCAACTCCTTCCCCGCTCGAACCTCGATCCATTCGGGGGCTGATGATGAAGCTATGTACCTAGGGTAGGGGCATGGACCTGTCCTAAGAGCCCTACCCAAGGACATCCCTGGAAGAAGTCACCTTTCAATCGACTTGAAGGTATCTCACTCGACGGATTCAAGACACTCGACCAGGAAGCTACCACTCGACTACGAAGCCAACCACTCGACTGACAGGAGATCTAAAGTCACTCCGCAAGCAAACGGTCGGCCATTAAGTAGCCTTTATGGTCATCATAGCACTTTAATAGGGACGTTACCAGTAACGCCCAGTCTTAATGTATTTTAACCCTGCATTACTGAGGACCGGAGGGGTCTGGCGAACTCTATATAAGCCACCCCTCCTCAGTAGCAGGGGTTGGCACCCCCTGTAATTCATACACACATAATCCAGTCGACCGCCTCTGGGCACCGAGACGTAGGGCTGTTACTTCCTCCGCGAAGGGCCTGAACTCGTACATCCTGGTGTATTTACAACTTCTCCATAGCTGAGACCTAGCCTCTCCGTACATACCCCCCTACCTCACTGTCAGAGTTAGAACCACGACACCAACAACTTTCATCAGTGTGCTAACGGACACCCTGCACCCTCTCCTCCGACACTGTGTGCTCTTGTTCTTCGACGATATCTTGGTGTTCAGCCGTACCTGGGAAGAACATGTCTCTCACATTCGTCAGGTTCTCGAGCTGCTGCGCAAGGATCAATGGAAGGTCAAGAGATCTAAATGTGAATTTGGTCAGCAACAACTCTCTTACTTGGGCCATGTCATCAGCGAGAAGGGTGTGGCCACGGAACCAAGCAAGATCCGTGCGGTGCAAGAGTGGACGACTCCGCAGGACGCCAAACAGGTCTGGTTATTATCGCCGTTTCGTTCGCAGTTTCGGCATCATCGCAAGACCGCTGTTCAATCTTCTCAAGAAGGGCACCCCTTTCGTCTGGACCGACAACACTGCTCAAGCGTTCCAACTGCTCAAACAGCAACTAATCACAACTCCTGTTTTGGCATTGCCGGATTTCACCAAGACATTCACGATCGAAAAGGACGCTTGCGACAAGGGAATCGGGGCAGTGTTGCAGCAGGAGGGGCATCCGATCGCTTTCATGAGCAAGAGCCTGAGCCCCAGGTACCAAGGCCTCTCAACTTATGAAAAGGAATACCTCGCCATAGTGGTTGCAGTGGACCAGTGGCGGCCATATCTGCAACACAATGAGTTCGTCACTTACAGTGACCAGAAAAGTCTGATACACCTTGAGGAGCAGCGCCTTTCCACCCCATGGCAGCAGCGTGCTTTCACCAAGATCTTGGGGCTGCGTTACACCATTCGATACAAGAAAGGGACCGAAAACACAGCCGCGGACGCGCTGTCGCGCGCGTGCTCGTCAGAGATCCTTTCAGCTGTCACCTCTTGCCAGCCAACATGGCTTGAAGATGTTGTGGCGAGTTACAATTGCAATCCTCAGGCGCAGAAACTGCTAGAGCAACTGGCAATTAAAGAAGACTCCAAAGGGCGTTTCACTCTGTAGCAGGGCATAATTCGCTTCCGTGGGCGTATCTGGCTAGGAGGCTCGACGGCGCTTCAACAGAAGATCATGGGGGCATTTCATGATAGCCCCCTGGGTGGGCACTCCGGGTTCCCAGCTACCATCCGGCGCATTCGTCGTCTAGTTCGCGTGGCCTAAGATGAAGACGCACGTGCTGCATTATGTGCGCTGTTGCCCGATCTGTCAGCAAGCTAAACCGGACAGAGCAGCGTCTCCAGGTCTACTCCAGCCCCTTCCAATTCCACAACAACCATGGGAGATGATTACGATGGACTTCATTGACGGACTCCCACAATCCGGTAAACACAATTGCATCTGGGTCATTGTTGACAAACGCACCAAATTTGGTCATTTCCTCCCTCTGGCGCATCCTTATACTGCAGCCAAGGTTGCGCTCCTCTACATGCACAGTGTTTACAGGATTCACGGTTTCCCAGCCTCGATCGTGTCAGATCGTGACCCTGTCTTCACAAGCCACTTCTGGCAGGAATTGTTCAAGTATGCAGGCACCCAGTTGCGACTGAGTACGGCAAATCATCCGCAAACAGACGGGCAAACTGAACGGGTCAATCAATGCCTTGAAACTTATCTCCGTTGCTTTGTGCATGCCTGCCCAACCAGATGGAGTCACTGGATACCGCTAGCACAGTTCTGGTACAATACTTCACACCACTCCAGCATCGGCATGTCACCATTCAAAGCGATGTTCGGACATGAACCAAGACACTGGGGAATCACTCCGACCAGCGAGTGCACGGTGCCAGCACTGCATTCTTGGCTGGACGAGCGCGCCGTCATCCAAGACCTGTTGCAGCAACACTTAAACAAAGCGCAACAGTACATGAAAGCTCAAGCAGACATGCGTTGATCTCCGCGCACTTTCTCTGTGGGCGACTCGGTTTATCTCAAACTTCAACCTTACATTCAAACTTCAGTCGCAAGGCGCGCCAACCACAAGCTGGAGTTCAAGTATTATGGACCGTATCAGATCGTCGCCAAGATCAATGATTCGGCTTATAAACTGGAGCTACCACCGCAAGCTCAAGTGCACCCTGTCTTCCATGTCTCCCAGCTACGCCATTGCCTGCGCCCGGATACGCTGCCTCACTCTGATCTCCCTCGCCGTACTGATGTTCCAGTTGTTCCAGCCGCAGTTCTCCAACGACGTTGGCGCAAGAGGAATGGTGTCATGATCGAACAAGTTCGCATCCGTTGGTCGGATGAAGCAGCCCTAGAAGACACTTGGGAAGACCGAGTGGCTCTGCAAGCCCGCTTTCATGCAGTAGAGGCTTGGGGGCAAGCCTCATCGCAAGGAGGAGGGGATGTCAGCGCCCCTACTCCAGCTGACCCTGCACCAGCCGCTGACAAGAAGGACCCAGACGGCAGCGACCCGATCGCTGCCTCTCGACCCATCAGGGCCAGGAAGCCCAACCCATCCAACACTGGGCCGCAGTGGGTCCACTAAGCCCAACTGACCGGCTGGCTACTTAAGGCGCGTCCCACGAAGACCCCATCATCCAGTGGATCACGGCGGCGGCACTTTCTTCTTCTCCCCGATCCCCTTCCTCCAAATTCTTGTATTAGTGCCTGTAATTCTACCTCTGGGACTCGAATTCGTGAGCAAGTGTAATAGATCGGGCGATCACTACTTAGATCCTAACACAAAAGTTGCTGAAATCATTGAAGTTTTTTTAACACAACAAAGCCAGAAAATATAGCAACCTCAGGGAACCCACAACACGACGGCTCTATTACGTCGGCAGAGCTGGATTCTTTTGCTTCTCGTCTGTTTCCAGGTACTTGCCGGTATATAGAGCAGCTTCAGGAAGCTCCTCGGCTGGAGGAAGGCCGCGACAATCGCTTCACCCTCTTCACACGTTGCCAGGATGCCTTTGCACTACTGTTGCGTGGACTCAGGGGGGAAGACCCACGTCGGGCCCTCTCGATGATATCGGGGCTCGCGCCATGGACAACATTGCGACGGTCTCTGCTGCAGAGGAACTCAAGGGCGACTTCATAGCCATCCACAAAATGAGGAACATGCATGCTCCCCAGTCCCCCAAGTCGGTTAACATCAGCAGCAACCACAGGGCTTGGATCTACCTTCATCGACTCCAGCGCAACGGAATCTCTGAGGATGTGGAGCACAAGCTCCAGCCGGTCCTTCTCGCCGTAAAACCCCGTGATATCGACCGACCTGAGATGGGAGTGTGGCTGGGAAGGAAGGCTCCGGAGACTCCCGTCCTCGGCTCTATACCGTTCCCGACCCCAGCGCAGCCACATCTGTAGATAAAATCAAGGATGTGAATACTTTGTGCTTACTCCTTAGCAATCTGAAGTAGCTCATGTATAATCGATAAAAGGCAAACTATCTGATACATGCTTCTGATAGATAGTTGTCATATTTTTATTTCAAAGGCATAAGCAGGGTCGGCTAAGAACAATACTCGGATTTCTAGTGGTTACTTGAATGAAAGTTGAAAATGCTAAACTTACATGAAATTCAAGCTTTTCTAAGGAAGGAGCAGCAACCAGAAGGCAGGCAAATTGAAGGATATCAGTCTTCCCTCTCTGACAGCTCTCAAAAGTTAACTCCAATATCAGGTGCTTCAAATAAACAAACTCATGCAGCTTTCCTGGCAATGTAGTCATCTGAACCACACAGACAAATAAGAAAACAAACAACAAAACCGACATTGAAAACTGATGGAAAGAAACAGAGAATCCCAAACCTTATACTCCTGGCATTTTAGATTCAGAACCTCGAGACGAGGCACATTATCACGAAGTTTGGTGAAGATGTATTCAAGAGAAGTACAAATACCCTCCAACTTTATGCACATATTTGTTAGAAGCAAGGTTCCAGGAGGCGATAACACAATCGGCAGACCTCTGTACTCAAGTCTTACCAGACCAAAGTTTAACTCCATCCCTTGAAGCAAACAGCAGTCATATACATGCAAATGCTTAAGTGTGTTTGAAGGATGAGATATTTGCAACGTTGTAAGCATTGCACAACCTGCAATTCCAAGGAACTCTAGAACACTGCAGTTGGACATCAAATGTTGAAGACCATCATCAGTAATATTTGTGTCTGCTAGGTAAGTCGATTTAAGGTTCTGAAAACCCTTGAATCCCACGGGCACCTTTAGAGAAACAGAGCAGAGTTTTATAGACCGCAAGCTTAAACTTTTACTATCATCAAGAAGATGCAAATCGAAGTTACATGGCCGACTTATGTCGCTGGCGGTCGAGAAATCGAAAATAATCTGCTTCGCCTTCGAGGCAGTAGCAAAGTTCACCCATCTTTCTATCTGGTCTCTATGCTTATTATCAAATGGAGCACGAAACTGAATCCTGTCAACCCCTGCACCACTGTGTTTCTCTAGGACTGCATCAACTCTCTGAATAAACTCTTGCTTCCTCAGTTTATTATCATCAAGTTTTAGCGCTCCAATGATACGATTACGAGGAACTGCTGGCAACATTGATATAAGACTGAATGCTAGATTCGAGTGGCAACGCCAAAGACATCTCCACTGTTCCTACAGTATGCTAGTCCGCACAGCTTCTTTTATCGGCAGTTGCGACAAGATACAACAGAGAATTTCCTACATCAATGAAATTTTGGATTGAGCAACAATACATATTTTGCCATGTTATGTGGAAGATCATGCCGACGTAGGAGAATGTTCGAGAAAGAAAAATGCTGAGGAAGGAGAATAGCAGCACATTCCTCGTGATTTTAACTTGATACTCCAATACAAATTTCCCATACCGTTGGCAGGCTAGTCAGCTGAAGCCTCGGTCCCTTTCTTTTCACCGTTTTTCCACGTATGTCCTCTTCTGAACCCATCTTTCTCTTTGCCATTTAACAATCTCAGCCTGTCTCTGCAAGAGAAGTTCCATCGAGCATTCAAGAAAGTCAAAACAAGAGTTAGCCACCAGCCATAGAAGAAGAAAAAGCAAACCAACAAACTTGTTCAATTTGCAAACATGACTACAGAATATTATGATATATATCATGGTTATGTAATAAGATACCCATTTAAGCATATATTTTCAGCTTCGGCAACACAAAAACTATCAAAGAATCAAAAACATAGACATACTAGTTCAGCTCAAATCACAATAGTGCTCTGGTCAGACTCACAGTACTAGACTGGAAACAGAGGTTAGTAGTCATAGTTTCAGACTTCACGGTTCAGATCGTTCACATATTAGGCCTGCTTTGAAGAATCATGGCTAGCATAAGTACAAATAAAATCCTGACCTATCGTATGTGTTGGATAATAATTTTCGGGTGCAGAAGTCGGAGGCGTGCAAGACTACAGGGTGCCGTCGACGGTGGAGAGGGTTGTTGCCGTGGAGAGCTTCGGCGGCGGCAGAGGGGCGTAGAGGACGGCGGCGACGGAGGGCGTAGAGGACGGCGCCACGGCCGCAGCGTGAGGGCTGGGCTGCCGGCGATGTGAGGGCAGCGCTGAACCGGCGCGGCGGCGGCGGCGGTGTGCTCGATTAGGCTAGGCTATATGGGATTAGGTTTAGTATTCTTTTCAGATCTAGCGTAGTGGTTCTGTAGTGTTTTTTAGAGCATGGTTAATAGGGGGATTGAATATTTTGCCCCATTTTACTTGGGGTTTGATGATTTGCCCCATGCCTGTCCAAATGGCAAGTGGCCCGAAATTTTTATGGGCAATGATAGGTAACGGCGCACCGGATGAAATTTTCGTCGATCACACCGCGCACGTTGATACGTCTCCAACGTATTTATAATTTTTGATTCCTCCATGTTATATTATGGGAAGAGCTCTCCTTCACCCGACCGATCACTTGCGCCGCATCCGCCGGCTCCGCGTCCGTCGAATCGCCTGTTGATCGGACGGACGACAGCCTCCCCGTCGCGTGGCGCGCGTGCGTTTCTGAAACAATTTGTTTCAGTACAGTTATTCTTGCAACTGACCAGCTCTATAGACTCTTGTCTCTGAGAGGGCTAGGGATACGCGGCTGGATTCGGGAGGGCGGTGGCGGGCGGCGCAGGGTGTTGGGCGGCAGGGGCGGTGGCGCATATCCTCCGCGGTGGTGACGACGATGATGGGTTCGGCGGTGGCCGACATGTATGGATCGGGCAACCGCCCCCCTCCCCCCGAACAAGATGCTCCGGAAGACGGGCGGCGGCCGAAAATTAGCACGTTTTTTCCTGCACTGATTGATTTTGTTTCCTTGTTCGATTTCTTGAGCATGCATTTGGCCGAAGGAACGAAACAGCGTCAGAATTGTAGGTTTCCTTGTGTGGATGAATTGTGTTCCCCAACTGTTGATGTGATTTGTTGCGGCTGTTGTTCTACTGGAAGGCATTCTGTTGCCGTTCTGATGAACTGGACTGTTGATTTGGAGCATCTTGTTCGTCTGGTTTTGCTGGCTGAGATGGAACCATAAACGAGCGAGCTTATTCATTTGTTGCATTGGATATCTCTGTTAGGTTGCTGAAATGGTAGTTCAGTTATTTGCTGCTGCAAATTAGCGGACGTGCTCTCACCTAGTTTGGAGGTTTTCTTAGAATCAACTCTAGATCTTGGCAATTTGGATGCAGATGGTTTGATTTTTTTACTAGGGAACTGTTAAAAGAAACAAAACATAACCGAAATAGGACCCTCTTAGTTGGCGAACGATTCGCTGGGAGGAGGTGGGCCGGTGGGGATGTAAATGGCAAATAAGTGGCGTCCATAAGCCCTGTTTAGTCAGTTTTAGCTACCTTCATAGTTCATTTTCCTCAAAAAAAATAAATGGCATGTCACCATGATGGAGACGATGGCGCGACAAGGAGCAGAGCGGTTGTAGGTAGTTCGGCGGCGTTGTAGGTAGTTCGACGGCGCGACAACGAGTTTCAGGATCATTTTTTTCAGTTTTTATGCTGCTGAAAATTTGTGCACTGGAGCGCATAGTTCTGAAAACTCATAGGTGTGTTTCTGAATTTTTGGGGCGTGCAGTTTCTGTAGGATCCCCTTGTTTCATTTTTCTGAAGCTCATAGTTTATGTTGTGATACAAATTTGTGTACTGGATCCCCTTCTGCTGAAAATTTGTGCACTGGATCCCATTTGTGTGTTTCTGAATTTCCGGAGCACGCAGTTTCTATAGGATCCTCTTTGTTTTATTTTTTCCGAAGCTCATAGTTTATGTTGTGATGCAGAGAGAACTTAAAGTTGCAGGATCTCATTTTTGTGTTAGTTTCTGAATTTTTGCAGCTCATCGTAGCGGTGCTCTGACGTAGGGAGATGCTCTTGTCGTCGGCGCCAAGGTGGATGGTGTAGATGATATAGGTGGTGTAGACGTGTTGATGTGTAGTAGGGATTTGGATGTTGCAGATCCAGTGTTGCAGAATTGTTTATTTGACTTTCAGAATACGCTGCTGGAGCTCATGCTATCCCCTTGATGTGATGTAGCCGATACTATCCTTTTCTGAATGTTTGTAGCTCAAAACTTCTGTAGCATTTTTTACTTGGAAGTTAGTGATGCAGGATTTTGATGTGTTGTACGGAATTAGTGGTACAGACTTGATGTGCTGCAGGAAACTAGTGATGCGGGATTTTTCTTTTTAGTTCAAAGCTTCTGTAGCTCATGCAGTTATCCAGTTTGTAGTCTCAGAGAAACATATATGTACTTTCAGAGAAGGGAAGGAAACATATATGTAATTTCAGAGAAACAGTAGCTAAATTTGAGAGAAACTTACCTTTCTGAAACTAGTTTGTAGGTTATGTTTGTAGCTTATATTTCTGAAACTAGAGGAATGTTTGTACTGCTAGCTTATAGCACAGGGAACTCAGTTTTTGCTTCTGAAACTACATATATCTTTTCTCTGAAATTTAGCTACTGTTCCAATACTTTTCCATGAATTTTTAGCTCATGTTTATCTGAAGTTAGTTGGATTAACTAATATTCTTTCAAACCTGCATTTTATCTGCAGTTATATATACAATCTTCAACTTTTGCTTCAATACTTTTCATTCTCTGATAAGTAGATATGCATTGTTGATAGTTTCCATGTTTTCATTTTTGCTCTTGTTTTGCAGCATTCCTATCTTCCAAACTCGTTGGTCGGCAAAGCAGCTGCGCGGAATATTAATCTTTTCCATGTTTTTTGTATTTCTGCCTTTTCTATGCTCAGGACACGAGGTCGTTGCTCAATTTTCAGACATTCGTATCACCGAAGCTTTTCAAACACCCTCAGAATACTCTCAACTCAGCCGAAGAGTTCCATAAACTGCTGAGAAGCTCGTAGAAGATGACAATCGGAACAGAAGCTCGCTAGCTTAGTTTTTATTTTTTATTTTGTGAGTCCATGTGTCCGAAACATCCATTTATGTAACTGAAAACAACAAGTATCATGCCGGAGCTACCTAGATGTTTTTTGTTGAACTCAGAGCATCTATCATGCTGGGCATGTCCTCTTTTTTTTTCTTTTTTAGTTTGTTTTGAAATGCTGGAGCATCATCCATCATGATTCATGCTGACCCATGTGAATGTGAACTAGAGATTGATGGAGAGTTGGTAATGAAAATGACAGGCCTTTTTTGCAGCTTGGTATATTTTTGTTTTCATTGGTTTTTTTGTGCTGAAACAGTGAAATCACACTTCATGTGCCATGTATATTTACTGGGATTATATTTCCGAAACACTTCATTTTTTAACTGAAACCATCTTGCATCATCATGTATGTATGTAAATTACTGGAGGGAGGACAAAATGTGCTTAGCAATACTGGGAATATGTCAACATTTGCTGAAAGCATCATTCATGTTCTGGATCAGACCTCAAAAAACTGTTCAATACACAAGATGTTTCAAGTGCTGGAAACATGTTTTGTCGTAACATGAAAACAAAAATATTGTAAGGAGGACAAAATGAAGAAAACAACAAATTCAAAACTATTTCAAGATACAAAATGTGAGCCTTTCTTGCCTGTTTTCTTGCAGGATAGTGCTCTGTTTTCCTCCGTTTTCAGGCACACATAGGTATCAATTTCAGGCACACATAAGAATATGAGATCTTTTTATTTCGTCTGTTTTCCCGTAACATAGTTTTTGCAAAATGGAAATATATATTAAATGCATCATCAATGTTGCAAAATAGAAACTATGAATGTTTTTTCCTCAAGCACAATGTGAGGCTCAAAAGAAAATGGAAAACATTTTATGGAGCATTTCTTTGGAGCATTTTTTCCTATAGGTTGAGTTGTATTGCTTGGGCATTTCTCGGAGCATTTGTCATCACCGCTCTCAAGTACAGACAGTTTGGTACAGCATGTCCAACCTCTGAGCAAAATTGACATTTAGATGGTGCTGCCGCTGCCTCTGTCGCAACTTTGAGTGGTCCACATGCCTGCACAAGCCGCCTGCTAGTGTTACTTGCTTCTGTTGCAATGATCTCCGAGGTGCTACTTGTTTCCGGTTTATCAGCTGTTCTAGCGTGCACACACCCAAAGACCCTCTTGATCATTACGACATCCTCTCGCTTCCGTCCCTTATTCTGGTTGTACTTTGTTGAAGATATGCGTGTCCCGAAACCCAACTTGAAGGCATAGTCATTGTAGAATTTCTTTGCATCCTGAATTGTGTCAAAGACCATGCTGAAGGAAATATGCCCTAGAGGTAATAATAAAGTTATTATTTATTTCCTTATATCATCATAAATGTTTATTATTCATGCTAGAATTGTATTAATCGGAAACATAATACATGTGTGAATACATAGACAAACAAAGTGTCACTAGTATGCCTCTACTTGACTAGCTCGTTAATCAAAGATGGTTATGTTTCCTAACCATGAACAATGAGTTGTTATTTGATTAACGGAGGAAC